GCCCGCTTCATTTGACGGATTGGAGGACAGCATTGAAGCATTTATTCGTAAGATATCGCCGAAATGTTGGAAAGAGTATGTCGAAATTGGAGTAAGCGGATGGACCAATTTAGGCGCGGTCACGGTCAACATTTGCATGAAATAATCTCCAAAAATGGAATTATATCGACCGTACTATAGAATTTCAAGGTTTTTTTTTTTTGAAAAACAATTTTTTTTATTTTAGTCATATGTGCCTTGTAGCTAAAATAAAAAATTTAAGAAAAATAAATAAATAAAAATTGGTTTATATATTATTTAATTCTAATTTTCATGCTATAACTATACTTTGCTACTTCTGAAACAACAAATATATTTCTTTCCACACAGTAGAATTCTCGACGTCAATGTGGCGCATTCGTGCTATCAAGAAATTAACAACTTTCTTTTCATAGCTGTATATCTTGGCGAGAGAAATTCTAAGTACACGCCACCTATTTATTTGCACCTGTGCTGAAGGACACTTTTACAAAAGTTTAACAAACACTAAGTGCTGCCAGAATGCACAAGGTGAATACGCATATACCTAAATACATATACACAGAGCGACACCCAGCAAAAAATTCAATTTAAATCTCTGATATTCAATTGCTGAAGAGGGAGTGGAGGAAAGAGCTGTAACAAGAGTCACAACTTTAATTATTTTAATATAATTACCTGTTAGTACTAAAGCCGCAAACAGCGAGAAAATTTGTGTAAAATTAAGATTTGCTAAGACACGTGAGCACTAGTAGGAGATCAAAAGAAAAATAGAGGGTTTTCCTATAAGCGGTGGTATTTTCATATTCCTAGAAACTTTTCCCTGAAAAGATTGATGGTTTCGTTACTTGTGTTACACGCCGCCTTGTTGAAAGTAAACTTTGCCCATCAGGATTCAAGACCACGCTGGACCAATAAGTTACACGCTGAGGTTGGAGAGGCTTTTCAATAATAAATCTTCAGTTTTCCGAGCATCAGATGCGACAGTTTTGCATCCATTTCAAGAACACAATCAGCGAGGCGGCAGCAGTAGAAGAGTGGTTGGCATTGCGTACTGTCATTCGAAATGATCGAGTTCAAACTCCGGTGCCACCAACATCCAAATTTATTGGAAACTAATTTAAATAAAAAATAAGATCATTCTTCTAATTGCAGTCCACGCCTCCCAGTGTATTTCTGAAATGAAAATCAAAAGCTCATAAAAAAACCATCAGCCGTTCGGAGGCGGCTTAGTATAAATTGTAGGTCCCACCATTTTTTGGAAAAACTTCAAGATGAAAAACCACAAATTGGAAGAGCATCTCGGCCAAAAATTCGATGCAGCGGTTGCAAAGCGCTCCACTTTCCGAAAAATCCATTCTTTTCGAGTGTATACGCCATTAGCAGTTGGCTGTTCCGTCAGTCATTTAGGACAAAACCTTTTATATATGATGCATACAAGGAAGATAAGCTGTTGAAAGCTCTCTTACTTTTAGAGTAATGTACCGTTAACTTGAATTACATTGATTTTTTTCAACATGATTTTTAGCGCCGCTGTTGGGTGAAATCCTGTGCTTACTATTCAGTTATTTGAAGCCAGTACTTTTAAATATATTTTCTCCTTTCAACTCTTTTTTTTTTCTTAAATATTTATTTATTTACTTATTTTCTTTCAGGTATTTTTAGTTTGTCTATTAGTTTGTCTATTAGTTTGAGTACGCATAAATTTGCGCTGAAACCTTTAAATTTCTCTATAGGGTAAACATTTCAAAGCATTCTAACCGCCTCTAAGAGCTGGTGCAACACACTTGAAATGCACTTTCATCACAGAATTTTCTATGAAGTTGTGGCCATCGCCTGTCCACAAACTAACAATTCACAGGAAAACTTGAAAAATGTTATAAAAAGGAGAGAGAAACACACATTTCCAAACACATATAAAAGGGTAAAAAAAAAATTGTAGTGTCCCATGCACAAAACAAAGATGTTTCAAATGAAATACAATGAAAATTGGCGAAGAAAACAACAAAAAAAAAACAGTTTAGAACAATAATAAAAAGCGAATTTCTTATGCTGTCAACAACTGTCCACTTTTATTATATTATTTGTGCTTCTTTTTTTGTTTCATTTGTGCTTTTGTGGTTGTCACTTGGTCATCTCAACACTTCAATTTCAGTTAAAAATACTTTCAACTACTTGCAACTTGGACACGTTAGTTATTTTCCGCCAGTTAAGGAGAAGCTTTTATATTTTTTGCCTCTGTACTCGTAGTATCGTACTGAGAAACATTGCTGGTTGAGAGCCTAAAAATTATTTCCGAACAAAAAGACAGCACTCAACTGTTGCCTTGATTGATTTGACGTGATTGAGTTGTTTGTGAGGATATACATATGTACGAGTATGTACATACAAGAACTTCAACACTACGCAACCTAAAATGTAGACATTTTAGCAGCTTTTTGGGATAGAATGTGAATTGTTTAAAACGTTGTATTTTTCAAAATTGGATAGTAAAATTTTAAATACTATGACATACGTACTTTGTTGGTTAGTTGATTGAAGTGGCTGCCGGGCATCGGCACAACTATGCTCCAAACGAGCTCATTCTGATTCCTTTCTGCATATTCTGCAGAAATCATTAAAAGGAACGCCCAATCTCTCAGGGTGCCTGCTTAATAAGATATGTCCTGTAAGAAGACCTATAACAGTAGACATATCCTTCCTTTTCAACTCGAGAAGGTCACGTGAATTTCTAATGTTCCATTCTGACCATATAGTCTTGGCCACATTACATGTGTTTAGACTTCCCCATCTTGAGTTGGCGTCATTAACGAATAACTCTCTAATATTGAGCTTGCAAGTGGAAAGCTGCTTACCCAAACTCTTCCATGATGACGAAAGTAGTAGGAAAGTACCCTTCCTTGCAAAGCCGTCCGACATCTGATTACCCGATATTTGCTGCAGTTATCAACGGTTTTAGATTTTACGGTTACAGACGCCGAGCTTGTAATGCGGTCTGGTAGTCCGAGAAGATCTGAATACGATTATCCGAAAGTATCGCTCATCTGAGACAGTTAACAGCCTCAGGTATGTCCAGCTTGAAAAACGCTACAGTGATCCAGTAAGCGAAAGGATTTACAGATACCAAGTGACTTCGAGGAAACCAACCCTTTCGTCTATTTTATTCCATTCGTGTAAAGATGAATCGATTCGGCGCTTGCTGGTGTTATCCCGTTCCAAAGGTTTCTATCCGGGACGACTACCTTGAAGTCTGTCGACATACATACTTAGTATCAAGAAGATATCACACAAAGTAATAGCCAGAATACAAAAATGAAAGCCTCAGGTATAAGTAAATTCACAAAAAATAATAAATTTTAAGTATTTTGTTTGTGTGCGCATAAAATCTAGATTTAAAAGAAGATTTTCGCCTAAGTTTCCTCCTGTACTTTATTCAACATATATGTTGTTGTAGCAATATTGGTCATGGACGGAAAACAAGAGATCATATGATGGCATAATCTCACTTTCCATAAATTCACCTTTAGTGCTGTATGGATCTGTGGAAATCGATTTGACAATTATGAAGTGATTAAAAATTTCTAAGATTCCAAAGAAGGCTGCTTGTTTCCTTTTATTTCGCGGTTAACAAAACTTACAGGATGTCAGTGAACTCAGAATACGAAATAGTAATACGATTTAGTTAATGTTAGATTTAATAACAAAGAAAATTTTATTACTTTGATGGCATAGACCTGTAAATAAGAAATTCGAAATGTTAGAATTGTGGTCAACCCTTCGCAAGGAAGGACAGCCTAAGGCTAAATTTGAGACAAGAAAACTCGAGATAGCTGAGGATAGCTCAGACTGTTTTCAGAAGTGGATGTAACGAAATTCATTGAATTCAATGGCGATTATGTAGAGAAGATAAAAAAGGACAAAGATTACGAATAAATACTAAAATATTTTTTGTTGTTGTTTTTTCTGACCAACTTACCGATCTTTTGTTAATCCCCTCGTACTTATCTTTGTCGTCGAAATTTAAGCTGGTTTTGAAAGTGTCGGAAAAATGTCAAAAATGATGATGCGTTTCAGGTTTCTAATTTTTAGAGACCCGCCACTTTTTTCTATTAATTTTCTTCTAATATAAAAAGCTTGCATATGAAAACAACCAAAAAAGATTGTTCATAAAACTCCTTGATTTACTCAAAACTAAAAATAAATACGAAAGATGAGTAAAATTTACCCGGAAAGTTTCCAGGATTGTATTAATTTTCTGAACTTAAGCGACGCCGCGCAGCTCTTTGATCCCTCATCATTTACTCTGAGTCTGAATGATCGATCGAACGTCTACATCGTATAGCAGGATGGGAATGAGCAGCAACATGTAGAGTTTGAACTTTATTTGTCAGTTGCTTACTACAATAATTACAATTAGCTGCAGTACGTACTGTTGGTATGCAATTGAAACGAAGCCGCAAAAAGGATACTACTTACCTTGGATTCGACTGTCGTCGCTAAGCCCATTAAGAACATGAAGAAAAATTAAAATTCAATATTACATTTTTTTTTTCATATAACATAAACAAAATTTTATTTATTGCCTTTTTAATATTTTATAGTTTAAATGATCCGAACATGTGCTTTTAAAATCTATTTTCCCTTCTTTAATATAAATATATATTATTAAACATTTAATAATTTATTTAGTGTTAATTTTTTATACGTTGTGCATAATTTTAAATATATATATACACATATATATATATAATAATAAAAAAATATTTTTACAAAATTGAATATTAAGATTTTTTAATTAAACCAAAAATTACTTACAGACTTACAAAGTATTTGCTTATGTATATAATATTTTTCATAAATAATTTACAACGTATGTTTTATTTTGTTCCAGATGGTAGTGTTTACTCTATTACTTATTATTATTAATAATACAAAGTATTTACTAGAAATTTTTTAAATTAGTAATTTTTTGTACACTATTTTTCCATTAAATAGTAGTGTCCCTTTTTTATAGAACTTAATATTTATTTATTTATTTTTTTTTTTTTAATAATTTAATTTCGCTTTTAACTCTTTTAACTGGTGCAGAAGAATGACCACCAATGTTGATACTGTTATAAAGGCTGTAAATTCGAACTTTTGAAATATGCATCTTTGCATATTATTATATTATATTTAACCGTTTAATTGATAATTAAATACTATTAAAAAAATTACTTAAAAATCTACAAGCAAAATGTAAATGAATTAGATAACACCTCAATTCTAATTATCATTAACCAAATTTATGCAGGTTAAAATACAAAAAAAAACATAAATTCCAACATTTAGACACATGTACATATTTTGCATGCATCGAACCCATAAGAGAGTTCGCATCATAATTCATTGTAAAATTCATTGGAATACTTCATACAATTTGCATTTGCATGAAAATAAAGCACACACAAAAACGAGAAGGAAAACATGAACTAGAATCTATTTCGGATTGCATTTTCTTCCATAGCTAGCTCAAAACATGCAGAAACGATCTGGAAAAGTATACCTAAATGATACACAGGAGTAGGGATCTGGCCAGACTAGAAGCTTTCAAATAAAGAAAAATTTTATAGAACCGAGATGTGAACATATTTTATGGAAGGAGTTGAAGAAGAGTAATATTTCCAAAATATTCCAAATTTAAAAGCTAAAAAACTCAATAATACAACAAAAATTTGTTTAATTGCCAAATTTATGTGGGATCCTATTAAATGCATCCCTGGACTATTTTTGACGACAACACTGACGAGATGAAGCGTGCTAACGTGCACTATAACGGACGATGAAAAAAGAGCAACGGTTCTAACTTGAAAATAAGTCAGTCTAGAAAAAGTATTTGAACAAAGCACACTTAATTCTAAAATATAAAATAAGTTAACCATCAAATGTGAATTTTACTTTGTATTTCTAAAATAATAATTACAATAAATGTGTTTGTTAAAGTTAAGCGTTATTTAAAAATGTTAATTAAACAATAAAATATGAATTAAATAATGAAGATGTGAATTAAAATGAACTAAAAGTATCGATCTATTTATTTAAACTGCGCCAAGGGTAGGTAATATCTAACTGAAATGACTGAAAACCCTACATTTATAATAAGAAACATTAAGACATCCTATTATCTGTGGCGAAATAAAAAACCGGATATTTATTCCGCCTTTGATTGTACCAAAATTGAAAAAAGAAAAGGCACAAATGTGTTTGTGAACATAACTAACGGCGAATTAAGGATTAGTTGGTGAACACCACTAACGGCGAATCTATTAACCGGGCAGCACCGCCTAACCATAATTGATCTATCAATTACATGTCACTATATCTTTCTCTTTTCTTTTGAACTACCGACGAATAAAGACGTATTTTATTAAAGTCCTAAGTCTCAGAAGCAAACCAGACACTTTATTATTAAATTATAAGACTCTTGGTAGATGACATTAGCAAGCAGGATTATTTCACGCATGGAAAAGTAGATACCTAACTAGGGCAATGAAAAAAATCTTCCAGGAGCTTCGTTAACCATAAACAAGCATGATCATACTTGCTTATATTTCTAAAATCCAAAGGGTTAAAATAACATCCAAAAAGTACGCTCTATGAAATTAATGGGCACCCAGCAATAAACAATAAGATCCAAACTTAAAAAAAATATTGTATAAATAAACGCTCCACAGGTTGTGGAGCCCGTTATACGTAAACCAGTACAGTGTTGTGATTATTTTATTAAAGTAGTGCGTGTTGTATAAATATGGTGACCAATAATGAAATTTAGTACCTACATAACGCGTTTGCTAGCCTTAGAGCAACTCTAGTCGCCAGGAAACAGTTTAACAATCAGGAAAGACGTATGCAAGTTAACACAGCCGCTTATCGGCTATTAAAAACTTAGAATCAATATAAACACTTCCCACACCTTTTCTGTGACCATTCAAACTTTCGATCATAAATAATGTTTCCTGATGATAAGGAAAATAAAATAGCAGCCAAGCGAGTACAAATTTTATTTAAAGGACGGCAAGTTCCTATACAAAAATGTTTCAGATACAACCACGTCGCGCAACACTGCAAAGAAAAATCTGACAAATAAAAAAAAAAAATTTCAAACGCACCCCGAAACTGAACCATGCCAAACTGTGAAAACTGTAAATGAGAGCATGCTCCAACGGCCAAGGATTGCCCGGCAAGTAAAGGCTATATAATCAAAAGAACGATGACCTTGGAAAACAGTACATATAGGGAAACCCAAAAGAAAATAACCAACATACTGGGAAACCGGTTCGAGTTGCTCGACAATTACGGGAGCCAATACCCTCAATTAACCCAAACTAAAAGTAATAACAAAATCCGGAACGAAACAGCCTCTGACATACACAAAATACTACCATACTCACAAGTAATTCGAAGCAACAACAACAACAACTGACTCAGAGAAGAGATAAATGCAGCCAACACTATGAAATAATGGAGAGAGGCCATAAAACCACTCAACACACGGGAAATAAAAATTGAACCCCAAAAGATCAAGGAAACACAAGATACATTCAACAATTTGAGTAAAACGATCTCAACACTCTTGGCATCAAATACCAAGGAAAGATTAAACCATAATACAATGTTTAACCAAATTTGCGTTGAATTCACAAAATTCTACAATATTTTTAACAGAATTTTAAACAACAGCATTAAAAAGAGCGTCGCTCTATTGACTACCATGATAAACAAAGAGGGTGTAAAGATCTAGGAGAGGGCAATGCGTAGGCGGTTGATCGAAGAGAATCTAATGGAATGCAACCTTCGAAAACACCACCCCTTACTAGCGGTATGAAAAGAAACTACTGGAATTGGCTGGACACCATTGAAATCTGACTGGTGCAGAATGGCATGACTATATTTGAACCAATTGTCAAGTGAGGAGAAGAATAGAATCATACAAGGAAAACTTGGATTGACAAAATTCCACAGTGAAATCAGTAAAGCATTGAACCTCGCACTTTTAAAGATAGAGATGTCAGGATCAGGATAGAGATGGAGGATCTGTATCAATGAAAGAGTACGCTAATCAGAAAGCAGTCCGTACATTTGCCACACGACTCAACACAGCAAGTATACAAGTGGCACATTATAAAGACGCCACCAATATTCCACGAGAATGTGAATATGCAGATCGACGCACAAATTACACCACAACAATCAAATCGAACTTACTAAAGTCCTAGCATAGGAAAATAATTCCTCATTGTAAGAAGAAATTTTCCTTTAATAATAACACTTTTATATTTTACCTTTGGCGTCTTCTGTGTTCGATTAGTCTATCTAAAGGATAAAAACTATGTGATGATAAAATCAGATCCTGAGCAATTATTAAGCTCAGAAAAAATTTTCCGCCTTCGCCTTTGTATGTACGCGTGTAAATCTACTTCTAACGCCTCTCTCACATTTCGCATCTTAGGATAGGAGCTCGAAGTGTGGGTAATGAATAAGTAAACTTATTATTAAGGAGTCAATATCGTTTAAGCATTTGAGTTGAATAAAAGGTCATACATTGGAGTAAACCTAAACCTCGTGTATTTATTTATTTTAGTTATATACATATATTTGTTTGGCTCGTACCTGAGTTGGCGCAGTGGCTGGTGTATCTCGGTTGAAATTCGTGATCGAAGTGATGCAAAAATAAAGTAAACGTTTTTAATAAAGAGAAAAAAGAAACAGTTCTTCTTTGTATACGGGTTATCTGTTACTTATGCATATGTGCGTGTATATGCATATAAGGTTACTCGCACATTAGGCCCCCTAGCGGTAAGCAACAGACTTAATGCACTTTCGCCAGCCATTGCTCCAACCAGGATGTTTATTATCTGCTAAAAAGATAAGGGAGGTTAATTGAAATAAAGGTACCGTGGTTAAAATTCAATGCACTATTTTCTTTATATGGAAATATATATAAATAAGTTTATACTAATGTATAAACTAATTGCCTTTTGGCGACAAAGGTTTATAAAAATTTTTAATCTGGGTCACCAGATATGACAATGAAGTGGCAACTCTACATTTACCAACTACATCTAACTTCATGAACAAGTGTCATTACAAATTTTCCATGCGGCTTATGACGAACGTGAGTATATAAGGATTTTTACTTTCTTATATTAATTTAAATTTTCCCTTTTTTTCAGGAAAAACAAACAAGGGGAGAGAGAAAATAAAATGCCGGGCACCACGCCTGGATTCGTCACAGCCGCTTCTAGGTCAACGCGCTCATCATGTTCAGCGGCAGATTGTGCTTATACAACGGGTTCATCTATACGATTATCATTATTCTCTTGTATACTAATTTTATTGGGTTCATCGACAAAGATGGCGTTATGAGAGCTGGTGGGCGTCTCAATGCATTTTCTGACCTATCTTACAGTCAGCGCCATCCTATTCTTCTTCCATATAGTGCCAAGTTGTCCCGTCTTTATGTCCAGTTTGTCCATCAAGTATCCATCCATGGGGAAAATCAGCTGATGCTGCGGCTCATCCGATCACAATTCTGGATTCCCAGGGTCAAAAACATGATCCGATCCGTCATACACAACTGTAAGATCTGCACAATATACAAAAAACGATCGCAAGCCCAACTTATGGGAATCATTCCAGAAGAACGCACTACCTTTTCCACGTTTGAAGAATTTTTTACGACGATAGCGCTGTTAATACTGGCTTCTGCCTTGGAGTGTGTACTAGCGTATATGCATGTTTGCAAATTAACCAACTTTCAAACCTAAATTTAATTTGGGTATTTTTCATACTTTTGGTCTAAATTTGGATCGTAAAACAAACTCACCACACCCGTGTCAGAACACTTCCCTTTATACCAGTCGATAACCAGCTGATGGAGATCGATCAAAAAAGCAACCTACTTCGGATACCGGAAGGAAACTTTCTATCTTTTTTTCTGGACAAACTTGGAACGAGGTAAGGTCAGCAGATATTTTTTTTTAGAACGTGAATTTTCGTTTTCCAACATCTTCAAACGTGCGCCACAGTACAAAAAGTATTCCGTTCATTCATAATTAAAAAGTAAAAGTATAAAAAAATCTATTCCTTATTTGCTAACTTTTTCGCGAACAAATCTCTGCTGATCTGAAACAAACCTGAAACGTTGCACAACCTGGGCACATGCCCCTATGAGCATGGAAAGTGGCAGATCCTCCTGGTCACCTCTAGACGCAGCCGAAAGCAGACCCCTCATCAACTTGGTGAACCCCTTCTACTTCATTAATTAAATATAATTTTTATGAACATTTAAATTTTTTTTAAATCAAATTTGTTTTTTTTTTTTTGGTAACCAAACCAAAGTTGGATTAAAGAAACTCATTTTCTAATACTGCACCCTAATTAATCAAATTAATGTAATGCAGTTTTAACTATTCTTCTACATATAAATTGCATACCTATTTTCCTCTTTCTACAAATGAAATAAGAAAATCGAACCATTAGGAGTAGAAAAAAAATGACAAAAGCTATTGAGTGGAATTTAGATGTGGGTGAATACATACACGCTTACATATAAAGAAAATTAAATATCTTATTTTTTTTTTAGTTTCATTATAAATTAACTAAGTCGCCTACCAAAGCACCCTTTGTGCAACATAAAGCCAAATGTAGCTAATATAACTAAGCCATTCCAAATTCGAATATTCTTAAATAGTTAAGAAACATTTTATTCTTTTTTTTGCTAGATAAAAATTTATTATTTTAGTTTTACATGCATACATACTTATGAGCATATGCCGTGACTAAATACTTAGCCTCTCTCAACCATAGTTGTTTTTATTTTTTTCTCCCTATATGCCCTTTCTTTGCAATACCTACCAATTTTCGATAAATATGTACATATGTATGTTCTATATTCATACATGAGCCCAATTGGCGAGATCAGAGTACTCGTATGTTGGATTTCCGTTCTTTTTTTTATCAAGCATTTTTTTATTGATCTCTAACTCTTTGATTCTCACTTAAAGAAATTTTGTCAAGATATGTATTTTTGTCGCTAGTTATGTGTACACTATCATCCCAACCAGACACCACACAACAAAATATTGTAAATTGGACAAAATAAAAAGTTAAAGAAAAACAAGTAAACTTAAAAAAAATAAGATAACAAGTAGAGATAAAGAGCATAATGCAAATGCATACAAACATGTTTTGGTCCTTATGTTTGACTGTAATGATAACACAGACATTATCGGGTAAACCACACCAATAGAAAATAAGATTACATTAACAAATATTGTATTTCATAGGAAAATAGAAAAACAAAGAAATAGATTAAGAAAATTGTAATCGCTTTAGTAGTTATATAAGCAGAACATAATTTGAAAAAGGAATAGAATAAAATATAATGTCACAGAAGTAACATCGTCGGCATTTTTTTATTTTTTCTCCGCTCGAAAAACCAAAACTCGCTCTCCCACAAATGTTAACACGGTGATGGACAAAAATATAGCCCACAAAGCTAAAGTCCCAATGATCACAAATTTGCGAATTTTTTTCTTTTTTTGTTATTTACACCTGTAATATATGTATATTGGGAATCAGATATATTACAAGAATGATTGGCTTAAAGTAAAGAAAATGGGAAAATAAAAAGGAACCATAACTAATTTTTACAGGAATACGGTATAGCGAGGAGGCCTCAACGCTACGTGGGATTTTACCAACACCGATGTAAGTTATGCAAATTTTTTTTTACACCTATTTTCTATATATTTAATATTCGAAATTTCAAATATATTTTTTTTTGTCATCCATATACACATATGCTTGCACGTCATATAGTTACACATTCAGCTACCACATCAGCAGCCATACCAACGATAAACCCAATTCCATCAGCAACAACAACAAATACAATTAATCCAATATTCAAGACAACAGATACCGGGCACTAAATTCAACTAAACCGATAATAAAACATACATACTTACGTATAACATAATTCGGCACTGAACTGATAGTACAAACTACATACTCACGCACAATAGAATTTGACACCTAATGTGTGGTCAACGAACATAAAAAGTAACATCAAAGAAATCTGAATCTAAATTAATGAATTTTGTACAAATTATGAAATTTCAAAGCGATCAAATTATTATTGATCGAAGAAAGTATAAAAGAGACTGTTCGATATTCAGACAGAGAGTTCTGAACATGAGTTGCTACTAAACAGTTGAGTACGTTTCAAAGGACAACGCTCTGGATTAAAGGACAACAATTCTACAGAAGAGAATGAGGATCCTGCCTAAACTTCTAACACCCATTTAAGTATCTTTTTTGACACACATAAAAAAGTAAAAGATAACCAAATCTTTTTATTTTAATCAAACGGGAGTTTTTTGAATGGAATTTGCAGTGTAGAAATCTACTACATTGTAAAAACCTATTATTATATGTACATTCGTACATCTGTGTGATTCAGCACACTTTTTTTTTTGATTGTTGGCTCGGTGATCCTCTCATGCGCATATATATATAGGACAACACCAGCATTGCTTGAGCCCTGTTTTCAGGAGTTTAGAAGTTACCCAGTAAGCAAATAAGTTTGTAGTCCACTAGGTGAAGCTCACTTTGTAAAAACAAAATGGAAAATTGCAAAGTTAACTTATTTTTTATTTTTATTATTTAAAAAAAAAATATCCTTTAAAAATGTCTTGAAGTCAAATAAACATTGTGAATTATGTAGATGTAAGTTTAACTTGTTTGGTTTGATCGAAGGAAGTGGGGGTAATCAAAAGGGGCCTTCATATCATCTTAAAGGCCATGGTAGTTTGGGTAAAGAGCATCCAAAAACATTTACTTGTGCTGCTAGGTTGGAACCTACAGGAATAAGTAGGAATGCCTACGGGTAAGTTGAAAAGAGGTAATTTTTTTGGTATTTCTTTTTTTGTGTGCCATCGATTAAGCTGTTGTAGCTACGGTTTAGGGAGAAGTTATCTGGGTCCTGCAGCTACGTTACTACCCACCACCAGGCTGAAGCTCCGGGAACAAGCCAGTGCACACTCGCCATCTGTAGAACATCGTCTCGCCAGACCTTCTAAACGGTTCCCAAGCGTGCCAGTGCACCCTAGCCATAAAGGAAAGGAACAGGATATTGGAGAAAACATTGGAAAAGTTGCGAAAATATCTGTACGTTTAGCCGTCAAGTTATTTTAAATATCTTGTAAGAATTAATTTTTTTTTCTTATATGAATTGGTTTTTTTTTTGTATTTATGTGCATATACATATGTACACTGCACCAGCGAAACCCGGTGTCAACGATGTGACGAGAAGCATCAAACCACATTGCATTATGGCAGAAGAGGCCCCAAACCCGACACAGTTGAAGTCGTCGATGAAGAGAACAGCGACGACAGCGCACAGTCAATCAAGATCAATGATCATCAGCAATCAGGCAGAAGGATTCAGCTCTGAAGCGTAGCACCCCCACCAATAATGCGGTCCTTCTGTTTTTGATTCCATGTACATATATGAGGGAAAGTGTGAACAGTACATTAGGACATTATAAAGTAACCTTGACGGACGAATACAACACTGATACTGACAACACGTAAACCCGGACATAAAATTTGAACTAACGAACGAACTGAACAAAAAACGACAGTTACTGCGCGACCACGAACAAACACGAACGTCTATCGTCGATACAAATTGTGTGTTAAAGTATATTTTGAATTTAAAAATGGTTAAAATAAATTGTAAACTTGAATTAATAAAAGCGACTTTTATTTGGCCCTACATATATATTAACAATTATCAATGCAATAATTGTCTTTTTTATTTTTTCTGTATACGAAAACGAAAATCTTTTCTTCATTTAATGCGTTTTTTTTTTTAATTGGCTTTTTTCACTCCAGTGACATTTTACATTTTATATTGAGTCAGAATAGCAGACTCGGGTGCAAAAATATTTCACAGGCACAAAATATTTTATTTTATCACAAAGTTGAGTGGCTGGTGATTAATAAATAGGCACTCAATATAAGTTTCAAATATTTTCACTGCGTTGGGTTATTTTGCATATTTGGATAGCTAGATTGACCGATGAAATCATTGAGTTTGAATCTGACTATCAAGAGACACCATTTAGGTGGTGAAAACTCACCACACCAACTTATAAGGTGTACAAGTTTACGACATAGTTAGATTTGTGCTAAATAAGCTAAATACCGATTTTGAGCAAATAACTATTCGCATTGCTATAAACTTGGTTTACAACTTTCCTTTAACTAACAGGCTACTCCGCTTTACTAACCCAAATGAACATACTGGGGAATTGTTCGCCTCTCATATAAACCTATACATTCTTATCACACATTTCTAGAAAGCTCCTTTGATTTTTCTAAACTGTGTATTACAGATGCAAGTTTGGCAGGCGAGTTATCGGCGTTAGTACTAAGTTACATACGTATGTATATACATAAATACATAAGCATTGTCTATACCGACAAACAACCTTTAACCTTGTGTGATAACGTAGTGACAAAGAGAATATTATAGAATACATAAACAAGCATATTATTTAAGTAACGAAGCATAACATTCTACCCAAATTGTAAACAGCATCAAAACAATAAAACTTGTTTTGACATGCTTTATCATGAACATGTAGAATAAGCAATAACAACCAAAATTGTTATCTATTGGTAAACTTGTTATCTCCGGCGCATATCAATAGTATAAATACAACTAAGGTTAATGTCAACTAGTTAGTCTTAAGAATATGAATAAAGATCACGCATTTCAGCGTAGTAAAAAATATATTCTTTTACTCAATATCGAAACAACGATGCAACTGGCGCAACAAAACCGTGGGGCACGAAGGAGCACTCAACACGTCTAGTGACCACATATACCCACACATACATATATTTCAACGAAACGCAGGCGTATAGATTGCTGATCAGTCTTTAAAACAGGGTGATTATCATAAATGTGTATTTTTAGCAATTCAATGAGTTAAGCTGTTCATAATATTAATTCGTTTTTGTTGCGCTCGCATATTGGAACCTTCTTCCGGATTTAGATTTTCGTCAACAAAGTCTTCAAGTAAAATTTCATCATTTTGAAATAGATCTTTGCAGGAGTAGCTATTATATGTATTCCAAATTCAATGTAGGAAACATCTAAAAATTTCAAATTGTGAAATTTTGCTTTGAGTCGGCCAATTATGGGCCTACTCTTACTTAATCTCGCATTATAAAGTATTTGCGTTGTTTGCAAATGACCATTTTCACGAAAAGAGGTAATTCAATTCATCATAAGTGAATAAGCGGAGTCCCCGAGAATATGGTGTTCATGGGTTAAAAGTGGGTTAGTTGCGCAAGTTAACGACACTACATACATACACACATATATTCACACATGCACAAATTCATACATGCATAGATAATAATTGTCCGGAAACAAGAATACCGATAAGCAACCTTTATCGTTATAATATAATATAAGAATATGATACAACACATAAAGCAAGCATACTTTTTGATACGTTACTAAATTGTAAACATATTTCCAATAACCATCTTATCACCAAACAAACAACAGATTACCAAATAATATTTATTAGCAAAGATAGATGTTATCAGAAATATTTAGTATAAATAGACATAAGCATAAAAATGTAAGTCAGTCATGAAAATAAACGAAGTTGAAAAGAGCTGTTGCTCTTAAATAATAATTTTATTTTAATTCGACTTCAACACGGACTCATAACTCACATGAATCATATCGTGAAAGCAATAATAACACCCTAGAGGAACAACTCTTATCGGTAATATAAGAAAAGCTTCATGTGCAGAATATATTGACCATATTCAGACAATGATGACTGAGTTAAAAGGGAATCATTGCAAAATTATGGCCAAAACAGGACAAGAAGCCGAAGATTACACTGCAAAAAATTATTATGAGCAAGTAATTCAAATCATGGAAAAATCCATTCATAATTTACAAATTCAGGATGCATCTGAGCTCGAATCATCAGATATTAATTTAACAAAACAAATTTGATTTTGATAAAAATTATGAGAGCTGAAAACTGGAATTTTGAACTGTTTAAGCGCAACAGATAATCAAGAGCAACACGATTCCCATCTCATGATTTACCTAATTGTATCAATACATCTTTACCTCTAAGGGACATACGAAATATGTATATCAAAATATCTATTTCAATTATCAGCAAAACAATATAATTGTATGTAGAGGTATAAATAGCAGTAAGTAAACTAAATGTAAGACGGTTATAATTTACTATCAATAAAGACGACAAGCAAGTGCTAAAGAAAATAAAAATTAATTTTTTTATTTCAAAATAATAATTATAATTCTAACTCCCGAAAGAGCATTTGGTAAAAAATGGTCAAGTTCCCGCTAGTGGAAGCAAAAAACAGGTAGATCTCCACTGCGTCGGAAGAATCGGGTGAAGAGTGATCTGGCTTCACTTCAACTGGCGCCAGGCAGCAAAATGAAGATAGGAATGGCGCGCTAGTAGCGTTTCGGCTATAAACCGACACAGAATTGCTTACTTATCGGTATTGTGATGTCTGCGAAAATTCAATTTAAAAATATTATCTTATTTAGGATCTCCTTTAACTTTTTATTTTTTTTTTATATATGTCATTTGAATTCTCCCTTCACTGTTCTTGCAACGCTTTCTCTAGTACAATATTTTTCATAAAATTTAAATCTGGTACAACTTCCCACTGAACTATAATTGGTTTAAAAAAAAAAACCACAGTCATTTTACTCGAACCCTCCAACGAGAACACATAACATTTGGTTGTGCGAAAGTTAATTCATTTTCAGTGAGGACAAATATTACTAATGAAAATTGTGACGATTAGAAGCCTTATATTAACCGTGTAAATTAAAAGTAAAAAAAAACAGTGAAAGCTGAAAGATATCCAATTTGTAGTGGTATTAAATTTATGCGAAGCGGGATAAACAATACGTACAAGCACATAAATAAACAAAAAAGTTATTCTGTGAGTACAAAAACAAAAATGAGTGCGTCGCGACTAAGCCCGCCTGATCGAAGGCTCTCAAATGCCTATTTTTCTTATCTCGAGCAAACAACGGCAAAAGACAGCAACATGCAAGCAGAAGACTCTCAGCACTACTCAGCTAGCGCTAAACAGACGGCGAAGTCGACAGAAAAACAAGAGAGAAAGGGTAACAGTAAGCTGTTTGCAGGCAGGAAATCGCTCGCCATTACAAATGAAAAGGAACAAGCAAGCGGTAAGCCCAATGACATAAAACAAAACACAATAATACAGACAGGACTAGATCGATATATAAATATCAAGAGGAAATCAAGTCCTATTAAGTACACCAATAACAAAAAAAAATGCAAATGAATGGAACTAATGTAAAATGTCAAGAACCCTCCAGTAGCAACCGATTTGCTTTATTAAGTGAGGACAGCGTACTACCACAGTTGCAAATGCCAAACCACCGCCAATTTACTTGCGCCAACGTGTCTCAAGCACGTTAATTAATAATATTACCAAAATAGTCGGCACTAATAACTTTCACGTTGTGCCTTTAAAAAAAGGTACCATCGATGAAACAAAAACTCAAATTTACAGTGAAAAAAGCTTCATGCAAATAGTAAGTTTTATATCGTCAAGTAATAAAAATTATTACTCATATCAATTGAAGAGCTCGAAAGGCCCAACAGTTGTAATTAAATTTGTATCACTGAGAACATGTTAACGAGATTCTCTAATGAAAATTCCTGTTCTTCACTGTAGGGTATATTTTAATTTTTTCATACTTAATCCTGTTTGAGGTGCTGGAACTGCCGGTACTTGGAGTATCTTTTTATGTCTTTTATGCGTGAACAATCGCCATACATGTCTTTAAAAAATTCTTGCGCAGATCACATAAGCGATTGCAGTAGTTGGGCAGCCGTATGTCCAGTTTGTCCACCAATTATCCATCCATGGAGAAAATCAGCTATTGCTGCGTCTCACTGAATAAGGAAAATAAAGGCTTACGATGAGTGCCGAAGTATTGAAAGCTTTTGGTGCGATCAATTTTTAATCTTAAGTCATCCGGCTCTAAGGACCAATATTTACGTGAGGCCGATATTGGCGCTCACATGTAAAACAATTAAAGGAAAAGAAAAGGTTCTATATATTATATATATATATATATATATATAATTGGCTATTACTTGAATTGGAGCAATGGCTGGTGTATCTCGCTTGAAAATGTGATCGAAGTGAAGAAAAAATAAATTTTTAATTAGGAGTTTTTTTCTTGTATAAGAGTTGTATGCCACTTATGCATATGTGTGTGTATATGCATATAGGGTTACACGCACATTAGGTCGGCTCCTTATATTTGGGCCGTTGGTTTAAATATTTGTGCAAATTGTTAAGTACAGTGTTTTACTACATACGTATACTCGTACTGGTTTTTAATTATCATTAGACATGTTTTTTAGTTAGTAATCATAAATACATATATTTATATATATATAAATATTAGATAGGCTGTCTATCCCACATGTCAGAAGGTGCCTATTAAGGAACGGTGGGACAAAAGTTTATAAAATTGAAGTAAGTATATCAATACATATATTAATCAGTATATTCAAACACAAGTAATTGAAAAAGTAATATTTCAGTTCGTGTGATGAAAACTCCATGCGTATCGTGCAACCAATTTAAAGGTTGAATATTTTAAATTAACTATTACATTCATTAAAAATATTTCTACGTTACACAAATAATTGAGAAACAAACTGAATTTATAAATGAAATGATGAGTAATCAAAAATTCTTAAAAGAAATCTTGGAGGATTCGCAAGGTCAATACAAATAAATTATTATAGGCATACAGAATTGCTGCCATTTGTTAAACATTCCTAGTAAAATATTATCTAAAGCAGACATTTGGAAGTTTAAAGTAAATTTAAAATTGAAATACATTTTTTTGTATTACTATACTTTTCCAGCAACAACAGATAGCCAAAACAGAGTGAAAGTGGACATGATGGCGGATCACAGGGTGCACATCCAACCAACTAATAACAACCACTTAAATGTATCAGCCATAACTATGTACGCTGTTCCCAATAAATTCGGTAGAAGACTGGAAAATTATATACGTGTATGTATAAATTCAGCGAATAAGTCAAAATATGTAAATTTCACAGCAAATTTCTTATTGCAAGAAACACAATTATATCAATTTTTCTCTTTAGATATCAGCAGTGAAATATTTACTTGCTGAATGCGCCCATAAAAAGGAGGAGAGGATATTTTCAAGGGAGTTATGTGTTGCAAACAACTGTTCAAATATCATTGAACATGTTTAGTTTAGATAAGATAAAACCAAGGAATGAATTTTTAATTTATAACTTTGGTCTAAATTCATATTTTTTAATATCACAAGCACAATTGAATAAATGCACCAGAAGTTTGAATAATCACTTAATATGTAAAGGAAAATCGCCATGGCAACCTGCTCTGCATCAGACTTGTGAGTTATCTCCACTGCTGAAAGGAAGCCTTGCAGGCTGCCAAAATGAGGAAATAAACAAAGCTCCCATATGGATTGAACTATTCCAAGAACATAAATGGATTTACCAAATATTCCAAAATTCTACGCTACACTTAGACTGCGGAAATGGGAAAACGGAAATAATGGAAATTCCAGCACAGGGCAGTCTTTCTATCAAATCGGGTTGCACAGCAAGACATGAAGGCACAACCCTATCAGGTTTACAAATATTTAAAATGCAGAACACAATCAACACAGAACAGGATCCAATAGCCACAGTCATACACAGCATTTCTGAAGACAGGATAATCCCACTAAAAGTCAACAAAAAAAGGAGAAATGAGGATTTTGAAAAACTCAAAAAAACTATTGAGGTACTAAGCGATAATTTTCCCTCGGCAATATGTTCAAATATCATTGAACATATTTAGTTTAGATAAGTAATATCAATAAGTATTGTATGCCGATAAGGATATACATACATTACATTAGCGTACATCATACATATATCATACATGTATGTACATAAATACATACATACAGATGGGCGGAAAGGACGAGTTTCCACTCCATCTTGTCGCCCGTGGCGATGCGAAGGTACTGATAGGCGGAAAGGACGAGTTTCCGCGCCATTGTCTTCGGTACTGCCGCTTGGTGCTGGATTCTCCGCCAAACGTTCTTCCTCTACAAGTTGCGCCCATGACTTGTACTGGTCGGTGGCGTCGATTGTCGACTGTCTTCTTCATCGACCACTGTAACCGTCGGGTTTGGAGTCTCTTCTTCCATATGCAGCGTAGTATGGTGCTTCTCTTTGCACCGTTGACACCGATACTTGCTGGTGCATATTTCCCCCTTATGGAATGGGCTCAAACAGTTAGCGCAGTACTTGTGGATTAACACGGCGCGCAATCGTTCTTCTGCCGATTTTTTCGTATATGCAGGGCATAGTCGCACCCCAAGGTTTTTGTCGCATAAACGACAAGGCAACAACAACAAAAACAGGAGCAACAAAAAGGCAAGAATAACAAAAACAAAAACAACAAAAGCACGAGCAAGCAAAAGCTGCCACAAAAACAGTAAGCA